GACCTCTTAAAGTATGCGAAGAATGTTGTCTGAATCTTCTTCATCTATTTCAAATATTGGTGTTGCTCATTGTCATCATGAAATCGTGTAAGAAATGTGTCGAATTTATATTCCGTCCGTTGAGTGTGCCTGGTTGCAGCTTTAAACCCTTGTCATTATTGTATATTCACACCAAAAACACTTGACAAGAAAATTATCGAATTTAAGACGTTCATTGAATGGTCATTCACAGCAACACCGCATCGTATTCGCATTAAAATGGCAATTTTAATCGTAGACAAAACAATTCGTTTTCATTTTCGATTTGCAATTATAAGTGGTTTTCTCTCTCTCTCTCTCACTCCCACTCTCACCGACAAAGACTCTCTGTTATTCGATTATTGTTACTTCTACTACAAACATTTTATGCAATCGAAACTCTAATGGTATTAAAAACGAATGAAAGCTCAAATTGAATTTCAGTTGCAATTGAGAATGGGGATAAGAATCTTCTTTTGTACTTAAATAAACATTTGGCTATTTTGTTGCGCCATATACATTTGCCGCGTGAACACAGATGCTTTATATCGAACAAACTTGTGGCTGAAAGAAGAGGACAGAGAAACAGAATACAAATAAAACATTTACTTGAAATTTGATCAATACTTAATAATCCTGTTTTGATAGGTTCACTTTAACTCAGCTTTTGCTTGATATCGTCGGATATAAGCAACGTGGAGTTCATTTGGTATTTTAGCTGGATGGTTGTTGCCGTTCATCGCTTGCTCAACTCAACGGGTGTAAATTCAGTGAGTAAAGGATTTGTTCATTATTTTGTCTATTTAAAATTGTTATACCGAATGATTGATGTCTGCTGTAGTTGTGGATGGATGGTTTCATTTTATTTATATGAAACTTACCACCTCAATGCGATTTCAATTTATTTTGCAGATATATTCAACGAGAAACCAATGCCATCCGCCATACAACTGAATGCAATGGAAAACACGTTTATGGAAACCACTATCGTCTGTTTATAGGTATATAAAATAAACAACAGAAGCTCCATTCAAACGCAAACAGATAAACATGAACACAAACGCATGCATATCTATGTACAAAATGTATTCTTTCTATCTTGAAGGCCATTTAGAGTAAATCTCTCTTTTGTTTCTTCTCTCCACTTTAACCTTCTTTTACCCTTCCCCTCGCTCTCGTTCGTTCCTTCCGACTTTTACCTATACTTGTCTTTTTGCACAGAATGCAGTTCGGTGAATGTCGTCCCATACTCGTTTTGCACTAAGAACTACTTCCTATATGAAAAAGATGGAATGAGTGTTACATTTGCAAATGCCTTTTACTTGTTCAACATGAGCTTTGTGATTTTAAATGGTTTCACGCGAACCTATTCCAATCCGGATTTTCCATTTCCAATCCGATCAAATCCCAAAAACAGAATAATATCCAAAGTGCCGTAAATGCATCATATAAATATACTACTCTTATTACTAACCGGCACTAATAAATTGTAAAATCCAACATTCAATTCACACAGTCACACTCATTCCATTGCATTTTTGACCAAACGTTTTAATCGGATTGCATGTAAAACATGATACGTAATACGATTGATGAAATGTTACCATAATTAAAGAAGAAATCCATCATAGTATCGTACCACTTTTTAGCTTGTACAGTTTTACGGCCAGTTTTTCTCTGAATCAGATAACCAGTGCAAAGTGCAAAATTCAATTCCGAAAAAACCAAATACCTGTGTGGATCTTATGAATATTGAAAAAGTTTGTATTTGCTTTCACAAATCCATTTTCAGATGGAATATTTACAAATTATCATCTATGTTTAGATAAAATGCACATAGGAATTTCTTTGTCGTTGCAGAAAATGCAAAAACCATGCTAATGTCAATCAAAAGAACTATTGCAAATTGACCTTCGTTTTGATAAGGATTGAAATGTTAAGATAAATTAGAAATGAAATAACTAGCATATCACATTATGGAATTTATTCAACTGTTTAGATAATTGTCGTCGTCAGTGTAACTTTATTAAATTGGTTTGGTAAAAATGTTATCGTTGAACATTTTGTGAACAATCAATGGAATTTGTTGTGTTCAGCACTAATGACATTTTGTGTGCGCGATAAAAGTTGTGTCTTCACGTGTTTCTGATAAAAGACGATAACAATTTTCTCATCATAGATGTGTCACGTCAAGCAAACATGTTTTTCAATGAAATCCGCCCAATAATAATATAGTGAATACAACATCGTAAAACTTTTCAACTCAAACTCATCAAGAAGTCACTTGACGAAATCGATCGAAATGTCCTCGTGTTGTGTTTTATTTTTGTCATAAAAATTATCATTGCACAGTGCACATACACATACATAAGTGCGTACACCGTGCGAGTCACTATTGCATGACTAACCATGATACATTACACACGGTCGCTGTTTGTCCATTACAGAAAATTAAAAAAAAGAGAAGCGCCAATGACTCATTCGATGGCTAATGCCAGGCAAAATGAGTCAACATTAAATTAAAAAAATACATATATTCCATAAATGTTATCGTCGTTTTCGATATTTGTGGATAATTCTTCACCCATAACGCTACATTTACTGTGACACAATGCCACTGGGACACTGGAATATGTGTAACGGCCAAAATGTCGAGATAACAACTTCGTTTTCCTGTACGAGATCAGGACCTGAAGCTCGAGATTTATAACGGAAATTGTGCAGAAGGAAGTGGGACAAAACAAGAAAAAAAAATTCAATACACTATACACACAATTATCTGAGTGGAATAAGGGAGAAATCCAACGATATAAACGGATCAATGGCCATTGAAATTGCGCTTGGTGCGAGCCATGGTTTTGTAAGTTTTTCGTTTATTTTTTTTTTGTCATTCCATATTCATTCATTCTATAGTGCCATAGTGCATTCAATTCAATTGGTAGCAAACTCATTTTTTTCTCTCCCCAATTCTCGTTCGGTAGCTTTCTTCTGTCGGTTTGTTATCCGTGTTTCAAAACTAATATCGGTTTTAATGCTACCTCTTCCCAATATTCACATAAGCGTTAGAGGGACTGTGTGTATGTGTGTTTAAGCCAAAAGGATATGCGATACGAGAGTCAAGGAACCAAATACCATTTTATGGAGAAAAACCGAGACAAATAGATATGCAATTTTTTTTTTGGTCGTATGGAGAACATTCAGAATTGAGGATGTTTAATGTAGGAGAAATTGATTTGTCTTAAGATTTTCATTGCGTCGATTTTTTGGCTCGGTTGGTGCAGTGCGCCCCCATTCTTGGAGCATAATAGAAATCGAAAAGCTTAAATGAAATTGATTGAATTTGAAGGGATGTGGCAAACGAAAAAAGAAAATACCATATATATATACAAAGGTTATTTTTATGTTTCAATTTTCCTCTTGCTCTTATCTTTCTCTCTTTGTATTGGTTTTTTTTTTCTTTTTCATCAATTTGTGATGAAATGAGAACGACAAAACAACTCCAAAGCGAAATAAAGAAAGAATGCATTTAACCGCTTGTAAAAGTAGCGAAAAAAAGATAACCGATTGAACAATGTCTAGTCACTGCGAACAATTGAAGCAGAACTTTTGTGAGCACATACGCGAAAAAGACAACGACAATGATGATGAAGCAACTCAAATTTCACAACAATCATCGATAAATGCGATATATCCAAAATTGACAATAAATATCTGAATAATACGAAAGACCGAACAAAGCCATTTATGTTCACTGGAGAACTCAGTAAATCTCTCTTACCACGCGTTGAACAATGTATATTTTGATGAAATATTAATTTGATATAGAATAGTTGTTTCGAATGGCGAAAATGGACAATGCATGTAATGCTTCGAAACTTTTAAAGTAAAATCAAACTCACATTTTTTTCTTCATGTTACAGCTATATATTTCCACAAAACGAAAATTGGGTTTTGATCAAGTGTTTTCACAACAGATAAAATAGCAACAGCAACATAATCTAAGGGGGCCATCGAACTTTGTGCATTGAGTTTAATTGAGTTGAAAATCTGCCTTATAAAATTAAATTGAACCATGGAATATTCATTGGAATCAAGCTATCCATTGAGCATTAGAACAAGTTCATGTTGAAAATTGTGAAAGTTTTCACTTGAAGATTTGCAATCAAGATGAGAAATAGCAAGTTTTCTATCATATATCAAATAAGTATAGTCGTTTCCAAAAAGATCTGTGTTGTCAAACTAATACAATGAATTTCGGAACGCATTTCCATTCAAAAGTACACAAGGCTCCTTAGTTAAACGTGTCAATTTGGTTTGAATTTTGTTGAGGGTATGTTGTTTGTTCAAAATTTTGACGGTTCGCTGTAACAGATCTTATTGAAAACGACTATACATGCTAAATTTATTCGGAATGAAGATTCTTTATTTAGAACTTTGTGTTTATGAGTTGCTTCTACAGGTTTTGTTTTTAGCTTAACATGTTTGTATTGATTCATTACTATATAAGAGTTTTGCATAGTAAATATTAAATGAATGATTTAAAATTCATCTCTAGCTAAACTTAAATTCTACTATAAATGTGACGTGTCCTAAGGTATATTGAAATTTTTTAATTAAAACATGACAAAGTCATTTATATTTACATTCATGCAGTAAACAACGATATACAGCTTTTCGTTGTGATAAAGAGTCAAATTTTTTTTTGCAAAATTTTCGTGTCATTTAAAAAAACTCTATAATTTTTGTTAATTCTTTTATTTTAAAGAAATCAATTAAAACTTATTTTGAAGAATTCGGAGTTCGGTTTCAAAATTGAATTTCAAATATTATGAAATTTACCGAAAATAATAATAATATGAATAATACTCGATGAAAATGTATTTACATGAAAAGAAGGGATCAATGATTTTTATATCACAGGTTATAATTTTCGTTTTTCTTTACTCATTAAATTAAACGATACGTAATTATATATTCAAAACGCGAATGGAATTTAACGCTTTATAATGCACTAAATGAAACGCTTACTTATTTTCGAAAATATAATCCTTAAATGACTAAAATAGCTAATATTTGCTCGGGTTAAATAGATATTTTGAAATGAATTGAAAGATTAAAATAGCTATTGTTATTTAGCATAATGATAAGATTTCAATAATAATAAGATGATATTCTTTATGCGATAGCAGCACGAAGTCATTATTCGTGTGGTCACAGTGAAATGATTTATATCATTTTAATCTGACCACAAATATGACATTTATTGAGTTTGCTTTATAAACGTTGTAATCGTTTACCGTCTAATAAAATGAGAGATCTCTAAATCTAAATTAATCGTCATCGCTGCAAACCCGATTTTGTCATAATTCACGTTTTTCTTTTTCTTCTTTTAATTCTATACAATCAATACATAAATACGAATTAATTTATTGTGACGAGTATTTTGGTTGAGTTGCAACCAGACCCATATTGTGAATGCTTCTACGAGTTTTGACTTATATTGGACTTGTTGCATCTTTGATATTTATTAAGTGCTTCTCTATCTCTCTCTCTCGATTGAGTTGATGAAGCACCTTTAAGATTAAATTCATTACAATGTTATTTGATGATGATACTGATGGCATTGAGGCTAGACGATGCTACTTCGTGGTATTCCAACATCTTGTTTTGGATCGGTCGGTGAGTTTGTGAGTGATGAACGTTTCACTTGGCTCAACAGTCGATTTGATGGAAAGTTTGACACAACAATTGGCTTTTGCACGTATGGATTTTGCACTGGACTAGGATTCGGATGCATTGCATAATTGCGAAGATTATTTGCAATGTAATATCTATCGTCATCATAATCCAATGAGTTTCTATTGTTGAGAATATTTGAAAGATAAACATGAGGTGAAAATTATGTAAATTTTCGAACTATATTTGACTATATATATTTACCGATTTTTAATTGCCGTGATGGATCCGTATGAATTTTGAGCTTCTTTTGATTTATAATAAGCATCATCGTCACTATAGTTCAATGATTTTCTATCAATAAAATTTATTAGATAATAATCGATATGAAGTTTTACCAAAAATAAATATATTCAGAAAGTAAGTGTAGAGAAATATTTACCTGTAAGCAACAGGTTTATCAAACGGAATGCTATTCACGTTGTTTGTTATGATTTGCAGCAATGTGTTATCGGAAACGGTTGACGGAAGCGAATAATTGGATTCGGACGAACCTTGTTTGATTTTGTAGTCACTGCTTGGCGATGATCGATCACTTTCCTTGCAACATTTATCAGTGCTGGAGTTTTCCTATTTTAAATTTATTCACTCAATTTAATAATTACGAACGTCATTTTAATTATCGAAATTGTTCATTTAAATTTACAATAATATTTGTATTGTTTTGTGTGCATGCAAAAATGTACTCACGTCAGAGAAATTCAGCATGTAATTGTCGTGTGGAATGAATTGTTTTTCGTTTTTTACTTGACGTGCCTTGTGACCCATTGTTTTGATGAATACAAAACACACGATAACTATCAAAATGACCACCGTCATTATGGCAATTGTTATAAAAATCGGTAAATTTGCTGCTGATGTTACGTAACGCCAAACGGTTTGCGAATGTAACAAGTCCACCGTCAATATGTCCGTTCCATAATCATTCACGACCGAACAATTATATTTATCAAAATGCCAGGCTTGACTGTTGCGAATGACGAGCGTTGATTTGATGCCTTGATCATTTGTTTCTTCTAAAATTGAAAATTCTGGATCACTGCTTCCGTTTATTTCGCGACCATGGAAACTCCATGAAATGTGCCGTGCCCGTGGAATAGAGATAGCCGAACATTCTAAATGTGTGGTATCGCCAACTGTGCCAAATTGTTGATTGCTTGAGGTGATTTTTGGTGGTGATTTCAAAAATACATCGGCCGCTGATTTTATCTCCGGAAAACCAGGTACACTTGCTTTGCAGAAATATCGACCGGCCGTATCACTTGATACTATTAATTTTAACTTTTTCTTCGTTCCCACCACTTTGGGATGATAATTTATCTAGAATTGAAATTAATAAATTGAATGAAAGAAATCGATATTGCACAATATAAAGAATGACATTTTGGGATTCGATCGGAAAATTCGATTGTGAATCAAAGACGAGGAATTTCACTAGAAATTATATTTTATTCATACCCTATCGACAGGATCGTGCACCCAAACAATTTCCAATGGATTTCCTTGTGCGGAACACGTTAATGTTACTTTATCGCCTCGGTCGGCTTCAACCGATTTTGGCGTTTCGACGAATGATGGTGGATCTAAATAAAGATTTTTTTTTTTATTTTAAATCGACCTTTCAATACTTAAATGATTCGAATCGAAATGAGGTTTAAATTCACTTACAATGAACATCTAAAGTAGTTTCTTTATGAGTTGTACCAATTTCGTTGGTTGCCTCACACTTGACCACAGCATTATGATGACTTCGATTTACCGCATAAATTGCCTACACAACGAGAAATAATTAAATTCAATGATATTCGATTCGAAAATGTGTTTACAAAATGAATTCGCAATTGATGATTCTAAGAACTAACATGTGAATAAAATTAGAGAAATATTCTACCGAATGTATGGATTAAATAGAAAAGAAGAAAATGAGGTAGAAAAATAGTGTACATGTGAGAGAGAGAAAGAGAGAGAAAATTACCATTTCAGTTGTATAATCGCCAATAACAAGTGTGTCATTTATAAACCATTTGATTTGTACATCGTTTGGGTTTGCTTCGGTTTCGCACTTGAAATGTACTTCAGAACCATCCAAAATTGATGAATCTTTCAATTGTGTGGCCGATGTCGAATTAAAGTAAGTTTTGGTGGGTGCCAACTTGCTGTCAATAAAAAGTTTCACTTTTGGTGCAAATTGAACCTAAATAAAGATACCGATAACAAATGGAGAAAAATCAATATCTTTTTTTCTTAAATTACTCATAAATTACGGTAAAATCAATCTACTGAAAAAGTTGCCCTCTTAAGTGTTCTGTTTGTGTATGCATTAAGTAAGTCTAAGAATTTTTTTGTTAAATCATAATCGAGATTAGTTAGGTAAAGTATGCAAACAAATCTAGCAATTTCAAGCGATTTCCAATACCAATGTAAAAACTCAAGCGTTTGCAAGAGAAAGAAGAATCAAGATAGAATAAAAACCAGCAGCAGCAACAATTATATACACATCGTCACTTTAATCCAATTTACCTCAATTTTGATTTCAACAGTTTTCACCGTTTTATCGGCAGCACTCTTGGCACGGCACGTGAATGTCATATTGTGATGCTCACTTTGCGCTCGCATTTGAAGCGTTGATTTCACGGTAAATCTCTTGTCATCTGATAATAATTCCTCGGATTTTTTAACGCCTTCAGTTATTTCGTTGCCATTTCCATCGAACCATGTCAACTTTGTAAATTGAAGTGTAAAACGTGATAAAAAAGCGTGTTTTATTTGTGTTGAAAGAAGGAAAGAAAGAAAAATCGGATGTGATTGGGCCAGTGTTGTTTAAATTACAACAAGCTCTGCGACAATTTTTCTTACCGTTGCTGCCGGTTTTCCACCAATCGAAATGCAATCCAATTCGATGTCTTTGTTTTCGGTGGTTAACATGAAATCACCCTGCAAAATACGCGGTGCCTCTGGTGGCACTAAAACATTTAATTTTGCAAATTGTGAGCGAATGCCTGGTTGTCCTAAAGGTCCTGGACTGACTTGACTGCATTCGGCAGGATTAAAACAAAGAATATATTAGTATATGTCGACTTTTTTACGTTCGATTTTTAAATTACCATTGATATTTGGCATCGTCGTCCAAAGTAACTGGGTCAATTTTTAGCGTATAGTCGCCTTCTTCATCGCTGCCAATCATGGTGTATCGTTCAAAGCCGCTTAAGCTCAAATTGCGTTGCCAACCAAGCCCAAAATCGTCTTTTGTCCACTGCAATACACCCTGTTTATGTTCGACACGGCATGGCAATATCACCGATGAGCCGATTAACACTGAATGATCTTCCGGTTCCAATGTGAATGCTTGATTTGATGCTGAATCGCTGCAGCAATTTTGCAACATGAAAATTGCCATCAATAAAAACATCTTCAATAAATCCATTTTTTTTGCTTCTCTCTGTGTTTGAAATGTGGGTTTGCCCTCTGATTCGCCTACTTTTATCGTACACACAGTTGATGTCTCGTTATCTGTTCTGCTGCTCGTATTTGTACTCGTCGGTCTCGTTAAAATAAATTTTTGAATTCAGTCACGTATCGATTTTGTTGGAAATTATATTTTTTTTTTATTCTCGCTTGAATATCTCATTCAAAATATAATTTATCTCTATTTGATTATTTCGAATAAAAAAAATCCTCCTGTCTGTATTTATCATTCATCAATATTTCGAAATTTATCGGTCGTCTTGTTGACAGTGTCGTAGTTTGTGCCGTATTGTTGTTGTGATTTTATTGTATCAACTGTAACGAGAGAATGAAATTTATTATTAAATTTAAATCGAAATATATTTATATTATATGAATATGGAAAGAGGGCGTATTTTTAATATTCATTTTATATTACTCTGAATTTCAAATTTAAAAAAATGGATGTGATAAATAAACGAATCTGCGAATTGTAAATAAAACTGAACGGAATCAATTTGATGGTATGGTTTTTTTTAAAGCGAGATTTAAATGCAATTGAACAAAAATCAATGGGATATCTTTTATTCTCATTGTATCTCATCATCTCTCATTTGTAACACCAATTTTCCCGGAATCATGTCTATGTCGATTGAATTTACGCATCATTTTTTCGAACACATTCGTGATAATCTCCACAATTGTTAAATTATTTAAACAAAAAACGCAACAGTTTGTTTTGAATCTCTTCTTTTTAGGTTGAAGCAAACACGATGAATAGAGTAAATAAACACTTGATCTAAACCTCTTTTCATCTATTCTCTCTTCGATTATTTCTTCATCTTTTTTAAACTAGTCACGAATACAGAAGCACGTAAGAAGTTTCAATAAACGAACTGAAGAATTGAATTCCAAACAAATGAATCGGTTCATTGGTTGGTCATGGCACCTAACCTACTATACCAAAGTTAAACGTGCTAGCGCAGAAGTGAGAACTACTATTTTCAAGACAATTCAAAAATTCTGAGATGAAAAAGCAGAAAAAATATACGTGAAAGAGAGAGAATGATTTTCGTTTTTTTTTCTTTCTAAATTAGACTTGAAATGAGAAGAATATCGATGTATTTATTGTTTCGATTGAATTGTCTGACTATTTTACCTCTTCAAAATAACTTCAAAAAGTAGAAATAAATACAAATTGTACAGTACAATATATGACAACAGTGAAATATAGATAACTTGATGCGCTCGAAATTCCGTTGCAATTATTTTGTAGCATTTGATTATTGTTATGGATGTTTGGTCACAAAACAATTCGACTAAATAAATAGAGAAAAAACCACCAAGACAGAAAAACTGTTTTGATACCGTTGAAACTTCCTCTAAATGTGTTTACATGCTTCTTTTAATTGCAGGAAATTCTAAAGGTTGGTTTTTTTCCACCGATCATGTTTATGAATAATTGTTTACATTGCAATAAGGTATATTGCAATACATTTTCAATGAGTGATTTGTATCTTTTGTCCGTCCTTTTCATTCGACAAGCACGGTGTTTTTGTCGTTGATGTTTTTATTTTCTTTGTTCCCTGTTTTCTACGGCTATCCTAGACCAAACATATGCGCGGTGCAATTGGAATTTTTATTGTTTCCGTTCGGCAAGCGGATGATGGAAGTAGAAAACAGAACGTTTCGCACCAATCAATTGATTTTTTTTGTATAAAATTTATTTATTTAGCAGAAAGAACAAGCACTGAAGAAGCAAAGATGTTATAGAATGTCGGCGATAAATATATTTAGACCGCATGGTCTGTAATGGAATAACTACAAGCAGCATTGTGGAAATAAATTATTGCCATTCAAGCGATTCAGAATGATAAAAGCAAAAACTCAAAAGCGGTCGGATTTTGTGTGGAATAGCACTTTAAAATCGATAATAGAAATGATCGTTATAAATCTGATAAAAAAAAATAGTCAATATACTTTACTTAACCTATATTTCGCCTTCGACTATTATAAACTGTATTCTGTTTAGTTAGATGGCATTTGTAGTTTGCGAATAAACCGGCCAACAGTACGTTTTCAACGTCTTTGTCAAAATTGACGTGCATACAAGAGAATTAAAGTTATATGTCAACGTCAATGCCAAATATAAATCCAACAGTTCAAGATAAGTTTGTTGGCCGAGTATTGATTAAAATAAGAATTGGAAATCGTTCCTTTGTTGAATCTCTTGAAATAACACGGCAATACGTTTTTACTTTGTAATTAACAACTTTAATTCTGGCCCATTCAATTGTATTATGTCACCGCGTTTTAACCGTTGGAATTTTGATCATAGTAATTCTTGTTTCAATTAATGTTGCTTGCTGCAGTCAGTGCCAAAATAGTTTTCCTTCCAAAATCGCTAAATTATTTCCAAGATAGAAAGTGGAATTTTGAAGAAATACTTGAAATGTTGAACCAGTTTTTTTTACTAGATAATTAGCCTGGTTTTTCATAATTATCATAGTGAAATTCTTCACTCGCCTTCGAGTTGTGCACACTAACGAAATTGGTGGTTAAATGTTTGCTTAAGCATACTTGAAATTTATGATTTTCGAATTGTATGTACACAGTTTCTTATCTCAAATGACACAGACAAAAAAGGCGAGAGCTAACTTAAAATTCTCAATATTATTTATGTAAATCTGCATTTTTGGTATTGTTTTTCGAGTTTGCTTTTTTTTTCTCTGTCCTTTACTCTGCATCTTTCTTTCTTTCATCACTCGAACCCGTCTCATCTACATTTTTGTGCATTGCACATTGTAAAAGGATTGCAATTTTGGTGACTGCTGCTGATTGTGCATTTAATTTTTTGTGGTCCTCGTAATTTACAAAATGCAGATAAAATATATTAAATTCTTCTCTCTTCCTCATTTGCTGCTGTTGCTGCTTATCTCTGAGTATGCGCATATATATAGATATTTTTACTGTTGTGCATTTGCATGTATTTGCATTGTATATATTAAAATGACATTTTGTACGCAAATTTATTTAATAAATGTGCAAAATGGTCGCCAAATAAAACCGAAAAACTAATGTTGCCTGTGCCACTACCACAGTCGCCGTCAAAAAAATAAAAGAAATTGAAAGCGAAAACCCCAAATTGCATGCGTTTCATTCAAACGCATGCTATGTATCTCGTTAGCATGGAATTTTACTTCAGTGCTCTGTTTCCCTTAATGACCGAGTGTCATCTGAAAACTTTTTCCAAGAGCATCTCTAAAATCTCCGAATTTGTATTAAGCGTACCAAAATAAATGCATCTCGTAATTTTGCGAAGAATTTTTTTCATTGGTTTTTGCGTGGAGATTGAGTGAAACGAAAAAAAAAATATCGCTTATTGAAATCTCTTTTTCCACGAATTTCACACTTTTTTCATCGTTATTTTTAAAATGAATTTTTATTTTCATTCTTCGAATCGGCGGCGCATTTTTTTCATCTGTCTGAATAGACTGAAAAGAAAATCCAGTGGTTAAAGACCACGCACCGCAATCATTAATATCTGTCGCCGGAGGATCAACGGAGAAGAAAAATCTCTCGGTTGAAATGAGACCGGCATTCAAAGATAGCATTTACAATGAATTTACCACTGTGTAAATTAGCTAAAAATACACAATTTCATGTCAAGTTGTCGTGAACACGTTATAAAGCGAGAGAGAGCATGTGTTTCGATCAGATGATTTCTGCAATTTTCATGGGCGTGTTACATTCGCCGTCAAGGTTAAAGGAATCAAATCGCGTCCGACCATACAATGTTTCTATTTTTGTTACCACACATTAAAACGGAATTGTCTCACATTTTTATTGCAAGAGTTATGTGTGCAACAAAAGACAGTATTTAATTTTTCAGCTATATTTAGATCGGTTAATAACATTTCGAACATAAAACGTGCGGATGAACAACATTTGGTATAAAGATATAGCATGTTGTCCACATAAATTTTAATAGCAAATAGACAGTGATGTCACATGTGCATTTCTCTTTGCGTGCCCCCTCTCATCGACATTAAAAGTATAAGGAAGTGTATATGCATTGCGCACACAAAGAAATGCACAAAGAAAATACGTTTGTCGTTGAAATCTTGATTTCTTTTTTTTTGTAAAACCAAAATTGCATTCTAGAAATAGAGCAAAACCATTATTGTATCGATTTAGCATTTTGCTTTGTTCGTTCTATGTCAAAATCGTTACAACAAATTCTATCATCAGCAAATAGCAATTTCATCCATTTTCCTGCACATTTAAACCATTTTTAGTCAATCAAATTTTCCACCGGAGAACGGAAGATAGACAACAATTTTGTCATCAAAAGACAAATTGCATTCGATGGCCAATCTAAGCTAAAAGAAACACAATCAAATTCGACAAAGAGACAGAGGAATCCAACAAAGAAAAAGAAAACCGATTGATAGAACGTGCGTGTGTGTTATAGAGAAGATGCCGTTCTATATTTATAGGGAATATCACTTTGGCGTGGCAACAGCAAATGTGGCGACGATGCAGTGCCAGCTAGACGATACTTTGAATTTGCAGACGGATGTCGCTTCAATTGTTTTTCATAAATAAACGTACAAAGAGCTAAAAGGGAATACATGTGCCAAAAAAATAGCAACCAAAATTCCAATATAACAAAATGTCTGGCCGGCACAGCATCTTTTCGTTATTTTTTTTATATTTTCTTATTGTCGCAGGTCATTACTTTGTTGGTTTGAAATGGTCACATTTTTCATTCAGCGTGAGTGCACGGAAATTGTCTCCTTTCTTCATATATTCGGTTAAACAGCTGTCAATCAATTTATCTCTACCTTCAAACTTCTGAACAACTATATAAAAACCACAAAAATGTAAAACCTCCAATTTTCCGGGGCTCTGACTTCTGGCTTCGGCGTATTTAATTTTGGACCGGATATGAATGAATAAAATTAATCTAAAAACTTTCGACTGCCATTTGAAAATAGCATCACAGCCGTACAGTTGTTGTCAAGGTGAAATTGGTGCTGTTGATGGTGTGCAATGTAAAAACCTTATTAGGGCTTTCAAAAATAGAATTATTGCAACTGAGCGACCGCGTATTTGTAGCGCATACAAGTATGCAACATTATATCCATTCACAAACAAGATGAACGAAGAATGAAAAGAAAAAAAAGATCTCACGATTTCGAAACTGAATTCAATTGAAAATTCTTCTATTTTCAATCGTCTGTGTACGTGATTCCCTTTGACCATAAATTCCAATCGTCTCATTTAAAAATCGGATGCTTCCGAAATAATTGGATTTCAATTAGATGAAATAA